CTGAATGAATTTGGTAGTATCTTAAGGGCCCCTAGTATATATATTTTTAAGAATGTGCAATAACCTTAAGGTTCCCGGTGTCCTTTTTCAAGGACCTTGGAAGGTCAGTTGTGTTCTACTTCGGAAAAAATCTGAAAGAATCTTGAGAGCCCTGGGTGTTTTTTTTTTTTTTAACACTCTTGAGTAATCCTTGTATTCTGGTTTTTAAACAATTTAAAAAGATTTTGGACTTTCCTAATGTTTTCTTTGTGAAAGAGTTTGACAAAATCCTTACTATACATATTTTTAAGAATGTGCAATAACCATAAGGTCGCATGTGTTTTTTTTAATCTGAAACGATCTTGAGGACCTCTTATATTCTGATTTTTCAACATTTTAAAGATCTTCCTTGTATATATATTTTTAAGAATGTGCAATAACCTTAAGGTCACTGATGTTTTTTTTTTAAGAATCTTGGAAATCCCTTGGGTTTTATTTTAAAAATGAATCTCAAAAAGATCTTGTGAGCTCCACGTTTTTTTTTTTAATGTGAAACAATGTGAGGGCTCCTTGTATCTTATTTTTAAACAATTTAAAAAGATCTTGACGTTCCTGATTTTTCTCTGTAAAAGAATTTGAAATAGTCCCACGGGCCCCTAGTATTTTTAAGAATGTGAAATAACTTTAAGGTCTCTGGCATTTTTTTTTAAGAATCTTGACAGCCCTTTGTGTTTTATTTTGGAAAAAATCTGAAAAAAACTACGGTAGCCCCAGGATTTTTTTTTAATCTGAAAAGATCTTGAGGGTTGCTTGTGTTCTAATTTTTCAATAATTAAAAAAATCTTGAAGGTTCCTGATGTTTTCTCTCTGAAAGAATTTGGTAGAATCTTAAGGGCCCCTAGGATATATATTTTTAAGAATGTGCAAAAACGTTAAGATCACTGATGTTTTTTTTAGGAATATTGGAAATCCCTTGGGTTTTATTTTAAAAAAGAATCTCAAAAAAACCTTGTGAGCTCCAGGTTTTTTTTAAAGTGAAACAATGTGAAGGCTCCTTGTATTCTCATTTTTAAACAATTTAAAAAGATCTTGAACGTTCCTAATTTTTCTCTGTAGAAGAATTTGAAAGAGTCCCAAGGGTCCCTAATATTTTTAAGAATGTGCAATAACCTTAAGGTCTCTGGTATTTTTTTTAAAGAATCTTGGCAGCCCTTTGTGTTTTATTTTGGAAAAAATTTGAAAAAAACTACGGTAGTCGCAGGATTTTTTTTTTAAACTGAAAAGATCTTGAGGGCTGCTTGTATTCTAATTTTTCAACAATTTAAAAGATCTTGAAGGTTCCTGATGTTTTCTGTCTGAAAGAATTTGGTAGAATCTTAAGGGCCCCTAGTATATATATTTTTAAGAATGTGCAATAACCTTAAGGTCACTGATGTTTTTTTTAGTAATCTTGGAAATCCCCTGTTTTATTTTAAAAAAGAATCGCACAAAAACCTTCTGAGCCCCAGATTTTTTTTAATGTGAAACAATGTGAGGACTCCTTGCATTCTGATTTTTAAACAATTTAAAAAGATCATGGACGTTCCTGATATTTTCTCTCTGAAAGAATTTGAAAGAGACCCAAGGGCCTTTAGTGTATGTATTTTTAAGAATGTGCAATAACCTTAAGGTCTCTGTTTTTTTTAAATCTTGGCAGCCCTTTATGTTTTACTTTGGAAAGAATCTGAAAAAAACTATGGTAACCCCAGGTTTTTTTTATCTGAAACGATCTTGAGGGCTGCTTGCATTCTAATTTTTCAATAAATTAAAAGATTTTGAAGGTTCCTACTGTTTTCTCTCTGGAAGAATTTGGGAGAACTTTAAGGGCCCCTAGTACATATGTTTTTAAGAATGTGCAATAACCTTAAAATCACTGGTGTCATTTTTTAGGAATCTTCAAGGTCCTTTGTGTTTTATTCCAGAAAGAATCTCCAAAAAACCTTGTGAGACCCAGATTTTTTAATGTGAAATAATCTTGAGGGGTCCTTGTGTTTTGATTTTTAAACAATTTAAAAGATCTTGAACGTTCCTGATGTTTTCTCTCTGAAAGAATTTGAAACAATCTCAAAGGCCCCTGATGTATAAATTGTCAAGAATGTGCAATAACCTTAAGGTCCCTGGTGTCTTTTTTTAAGGATATTGGAAGGTCCTTTGTGTTTTGTTTCGGAAAGAATCAGAAAGAACCTTAAGAGCCCCGGGTGTTTTTTTTGTGAGACAATTTTAAGGAAAAACAATTTAAAAATATCTTGGGCGTTCCGAATATTTTCTCTCTGAAAGAATTTGTAAGAATCTTAGGGGCCACTAGTATGTATTTTTTTAAGAATGTGTAATAACTTTAAGTTTTTTTTTCTAAGAATCTTGGCGGTCCTTTGTGCTTTATTTCGGAAAGAATCTGAAAAAAACTATGGTAACCCCAGATTTTTTTTTAATCTGAAACGATCTTGAGGGCTACTTGCATTCTAATTTTTCAACAATTTAAAAGATCTTGAAGGTTCCTGCTGTTTTCTCTCTGAAAGAATTTGGGAGAATCTTAAGGGCCCCTAGTATATATATTTTTAAGAATGTGCAATAACCTTAAGATCACTGATGTCGTTTTTTAGGAATCTTCAAGGTCCTTTTTGTTTTATTCCAGGAAGAATTTCCAAAAAACCTTGTGAGACCCAGATTTTTCAATGTGAAATAATCTTGAGGGGTCCTTGTGTTTTGATTTTTAAAAAATTTAAAAGGTCTTGAACGTTCCTGATGTTTTCTCTCTGAAAGAATTTGAAACAATCTCAAAGGCCCCTAGTGTATAAATTGTTAAAAATGTGTAATAACCCTAAGGTCCCTGGTGTCTTTTTTTAAGAATATTGGAAGGTCCTTTGTGTTTTATTTCGGTAAGAATCTGAAAGAACCTTTAGAGCCCCGGGTGTTTTTTTTGTGAGACAATTTTAAGGAAAAACAATTTAAAAAGATTTTGGACGTTCCGAATATTTTCTCTCTGAAAGAATTTGTAAGAATTTTAGGGGCCACTAGTATGTATTTTTTTAAGAATGTGTAATAACTTTAGGGGTTTTTTCTAAGATTCTTGGAGGTCCTTTGTGCTTTATTTCGGAAAGAATCTGAAAATTTCGAATGTTTTTGTAAGACTATGAAAACAAATTTTAAAATATTTTGGAAATTTTTGAAGTTTTCTTTTTGGAAGATTCTTAAAAGTCCTTAATGTATATTTTTTTCAAATATGAAATAATCCTAGGAGGGCCATTGTGTTTTTTTAAGCATCTTGGGAATCAGTTGTGTTTTATTTTGAAAATAATCTGGAATGATCTCGAATGCCCAAAGGCCAATGTGTCAATTTTTAAGAATAAATAAGAAATTGCCGTAAAAAACCCTTGCATGATTTTTAAGAATCTAAAATAATCCTGGAATCCCTTGTGTTTTGAAAAAAATCTTGGGGACCTCTAGTGACTTTTTTAAAAAAATGTGAATAAACTGGTGTCCTTTTTAGGAACGTGAAAGAATCTTGGTTGCCCGTAGAATCTTTTTTTAAGAAAATGAAAGAATCTTGACGTTCCTGGTGTATTATTTAGGATAGAATCTGGAGGGCTTGTAATGTAATCGAATTCTAGGCATCTAGTGTTTTGTTTCATGCAAAAATATAATTTAATGCCAGCAAACGTGATTTTGTAGACTTTGAAGGAAGGGACAACTTAAAAAAAAACAACAATTTTCTTACAACTAAAACAACACAGAACTATGATCAGTTTATTACAAACGGGTTTTAAAAATGCCTTTTGATTAATTTATTTTAAAGAAAATGGTGAGAATTTAATTCGATAAAAATTGCAGTATTCTTCAAGCACCGTTTTTTTTAATGTTGACTAAAAAGCACAAAAAAAATGTCACTCTAAACGACATCCCATATAATATGGAATCGTAGTGAATACAGAATTGATTTTATTTTTCTTGCTATTTTTTTTTTTTGTTGCTGAAAAGAACAGCTTTCTTTTTTTTGTGTGTTAGTGTCTTCAATTGCCTCTTACTTGGCGTTGTGACTTACAGATTAAATTTAGAAAACCTTAGAGGGTGGACACTCCATAAAATTTTATTGTCGGATTATGAGGAGTTTAAAAGGACGGTCTTTATCGGTTACCTGTTACAGATTTGAGTGGACTAGAAAAATGGTTAAAGTTTGTTTGACCACAAACTTGAAATATTTTGCCTTTGTTTACTCAATTATTTATTAAGATGGATTTTTTAATACAATTTCTACTAATGCAACTTTTTGAAAATTTAAAATTGATCCATAAATAGCGAAAACCAGATAATTTCATACTCATCACAATTTTAACGCGTTGTAGTTTTTTTCGACAACTAAATTTAAAAAACGGAAAAGCAGTCTGGGTAGGGTTTTTTACGCTTATTTCAACGGTGTGAACTTTATTACGATCGGACGTATACTTTTGGCAAAAATTTGGGCAGAAGTTTATATGTATTTCCCTATACTGGATATGCTTTAGCTCTCCCTAACCCAGGCTACCTGGCGGAAAGATGAAACAGGTAAATTTACTGCCGGATTTTAGACCTAGATAACTACTGTTTAATGACTCGTACTTTTAATGACCACTTTCTGTTTACATTTCGTTTGGCGCCAAATTCCAGCTAGAAATTATGAAAGTTGATTTTGCAGATTTAATTTTATAAATGATAACACACAAAATAAAAATTTGTCCGGATTAGTGCACCACACAAAAATAAATTTTTCCTTACCACCTGACCCTCCTGCCGCCATCCCAAATTCCCCCCAGCGCCCCATTTTCCCCGAATCCCCACGCACCTCCACCCAGATTTGGTCAACAATCCGGTTATCCGAAGATATCAACATATTCCGAATGTGTACAAGCAAATAAATAGCCTGCGCCTAGTGGAGTTTCGCCGACAGAGGATGCCGCCGCCTCATTTCCATTCCGCCTCATCGGCGGCTCGTGAGCGCGGCGAGCGCGCGCCACTGGAGTGCACGGGGGTGATAATTAGTGGTGCGCACCCCCGGTAGGGGGTGCATGGTGGGGCCGCTATATAGAAGCGAACCAAGAAGTCGCCGTTAGTCAACCGCACAGTGCTAGTGTGTGAGTTAGTGACCGTTGGCAGGTGAAGAACGCGACAGCGTGCAGACATGCGCTGCTTCTTCGCACAGGTAAGAGATCGCATTTTCCGGGACGCGGACGCCACTGACGGCTTTTCCGGGACGCACGCCGCTGCGGACCGGAGCGGTAGCGCACGGGTTTTCGAGCTTTCGGGGTGGCTGGAGCGAGATCGGATTTATCGGGCGGTGAGTGGTTGGAATGACGTAAGCGGTGTTCCAGGGGGAGTGAGGAGCGGGTTAATTAATGCTGTGAGAATCAGGAATACTTAGTGCATATCTACCTAACCTAAAAAATTAAATTTTCCTTCTTAATACTTACAATCTTTGAAATTCTGTCGTCTGAAATTAATTTATTATTGTTTGACATTAATACATACATATTTTTTAATTCAGATTCCTTCTAAACAATTTTTCAACGTGTTGTGATATATTAAATTAAAAAGTCAAGGAAAATTCTGATCGATTTCATATACTCAATACCAAATAGCGATTTAAATATGGTGAAATACCGAAAAGAAAAGTCAAATGCTTTTAACATTTTTTGGATTGTTATTTTTTTTGTTCAATAAATACTTAGTCCTAGCAAGGTGTCATGGGGTTAGTGCGCCATTTTTATGACCCTGTATATCAAGCTGGACAACTACGGTTAATGGCACCTGTCAAGACCTTGTGAATAATTTTTCTTTTCTCATAATGTGTTTCCATTTAAGACTACTATTATTACTATTAACATTACTTCTAAAGTCTATCATAAAATTCTTTAGTTTTTCGATTTTTGTTTTACAATACTTTGATTTCCAATTTTTCGAGTTCAGTTTCTTAATTTTTCGATGTTTCTATTTTGTTTCTTCAATTTTTGGAATTTACTATTTCTTATTTTTTAATATCCTATTTTATATGTTTTTAAAAATTCCCAATTCTTCAATTTTCCCATTTCCCATTTTTTTAGAATCTTAGTTTTTCGATTTGCAATTTTTCGAATTTTGAATTTTTCCATTTTTTGTTTTTTTCCGACTTTTTGATTATTTTTCCGTTTCACAATTTTTTGTTTTCTCAATATTACAATTTTTCAATTTTTAATGTGTATAGGTTATGCATTTTTTCGAGTTTTCAATTTGAAAATTTTTCAATTTTTTGATTTTTCAGTTTTACGTTTCTTAAATTTTTCGCTTTTACATTTATTTTAATATTCTACTTATTTTTAATAAAAAATTTCTCATTTTTTCGATTTTACCATTCGGCAATTTTGAGATTTTTAGTTTCTCGATTTTCCAAATTTTCGATTTACAATGTTTTGAGTGTTCAATTAAAATTTTTTCGATTTTTGGAGATATTAATTTTAGAAATGTTGGAATTTTAGTTTTTTTTTTGTTTTTTTTTTTTAAATTTTTCGAATTTCGAATTTTTCAACTCTTCAATTTTTCAATTTTTAGTTTTTTCCCCATTTTTGAGTTTTCCAATTTTTCGTTTTTTCAATATACTTCAATTTTTTAATTTTTAAATGTGTTTAAATTTTCATTTTTATGAGTTCTCATATTTACGATTTTTATTTTGCAATTTTTCGAGTTTTCCCTTAAAATTCTCCTCCAATTTTTCTATTTACCAAATTGTGAAAATCTCAATACATTAATTTCTCGTTTTTCAATTTTTCACGTTCACAATTTTTCGATTTTTCTGTTTTTCGTTTCTTAAAATTTTCGTTTGTACACATTTTTAGTTTTTCAGTATTTCAATTTTTCAGTTTTTGAAGATTTTAAAATTTTTCACTTTTATGATTTTTCAATTCTTCGATTTTTATTTCGCCATTTTTCGTGTTTTTAATTTTAAAAATTTCAAAATTTCTATTTTTTAATTTCTCGTTTCTGCAATTTTTCGATTTTACTATTCGTTTCTTAAATTTCTGAATTTTAAAATTTTTTTGTTTTCATGATTCCTTAAGTATTAGATTTTGTTTTCCGATTTAAAATGTTTCGAATTTCGAATTTTTCAACTCTCCAATTTTTCAATTTTTAGTTTCTCAAATTTACGATTTTTATTTTGCAATTTTTCGAGTTTTCTATTTAAAATCTATCAATTTTTCAATTTTACTATTCTTTTTTTAATATTATATTTTTGGAATTTAAAAAAATTCTTCATTTTTCGTTTTTATCATTTCTCACGTTTTAAACTGTTCGTTTTTCGGTTTTACTAATTTTCGGTTTGCAATTTTTTGAGTTTTCGATTTAAAATTTTTGGAATTTTCAACATTTGAAGATTTCAATTTTTCGCGGTAACAATTTTTTGTTTTTCCAATATTTAAATTTTTCAATTTTTAAATTCTTTTAAATTTTCACCTTTATGATTTCTCAATTTTTCGTATTTATCTTGCAATTTTTCGTGTTTCCAAGTTAAAATTTCTCAATTTTTCAATTTTTCGTTTCTGCAAATTCTTCATTTTTTCGTTTTTACGATTTCTTACTTTTTAAATTGTTAATTTTTCTATTTTACAAATTTTCGATTTGCAATTTTTTGAGTTTTCGATTTAAAATTTTTGGAATTTTGGATTCTTCAACATTTGAAGGTTTAAATTTTTAGGTTTATTTTCGATTTTTCAGTTTTTCGTTTCTTAAATTTTCCGCTTTCACAAATTTTTGTTTTTTCAATATTTGAATTTTTCAATTTTTATTTTGCAATTTTTCGTGTTTTTAATTTAAAATCTCAATTTTTCAGTTTTTCGTTTCTGTAATTTTTAGATTTTACTATTTGTTTAAAATTAAAAATTCTTAATTTTTTCGCGTTTACAATTTCTCAATTTTCAAATTTTTAGTTTTTCGACTTCACAAATTTTCAATTTCAAATTTTTTTGGGTCTCCAGTTTACAATTTAGCGAATTTTGGATTTTTAGGTTTCTGGAATTTTCAGTTTTTCGTTTCCTAACTTTTCCGCTTTTAGAATATTTGAAATTTTCAATTTTTAAATACTTTGAAGTTTTTCAGTTTTATCATTTTTTTCGATTTTTATTTTGCAATTTTTCAAATTTTTAATTTAAAATTTTTCTATTTTTGGTTTCCGCAATTTTTCGATTTTACTATTTGTTTTTTAATACTCCATTTTTTAAATTTTAAAAATTCTTCATTTTTTCATTTTTAAGATTTCTCAATTTTTATATTGTGTTTTTCGTTTTTACAAATTTTTGATTTGCAATTTTTTAAGTTTTCAGTTTAAACTTTTTCAATTTTTGGATTTTTCAAAATTTGAAATTTTCAATTTTGTTTTTCCGATTTTCAATTTTCATTTTTTGTTCCCTAAATTGTTCTAAATCACAATTTTGTGTTTTTTCGATAGGTTCGATTTTTAAATATTTTTAAGTTTTTCATTTCATATGATTTCTCAATTTTTCGATTTTTCAGCTTTTTTTCAATTTTTCGAATTTAAAAACTTTCTTCATTTTTTCGTTTTTACGATTTCTCAACTTTTAAATTTTTACTTTTTCGATTTCACAAATTTCAGTTTCAAATTTTTTGGGTTTTCAATTTACAATTTTGCGAATTTTGGACTTTTCATCTTTTGACGTTTTCATTTAGTTTTTTTCGATTTTTAACTTTTTCACTTTTACGATTTTTTTTTCCATTTTTATTTTGCATTGTTTCAAATTTTCAATTCAAATTTTTTTATTTTTGGTTTCAGCAATTGTAAAAATTCTTCATTTTTCATTTTTAAGATTTCCCAATTTTGCATTGTGTTTTTTTATTTTACAAATTTTCGATTTGCAATTTTTTAAGTTTTCAGTTTAAACTTTTTCGATTTTTTGAAATTTTCAATTTTGTTTTTTCCGATTTTTTAATTTTCATTTTTATGTTTCCTAAAGTTTTTGCGTTTCACAATTTTATGTTGTTTCGACAGGTTTCCATTTTTAAATATTTTTAACTTTTTTACTTCATCTATGATTTTTTCTTCAATTTTTTTATTTAACTATTCGTTTCTAAGTATTCCATTTTTTTGAATTTTAGAAAATGTATTCTTTCATTCATTTTCTTTTTCGATTTTTTGATTTTTCAAATTTTCGTTTCGTAATTTTTTTAATTTCACAATTTCTTGTATTTCAGTATTTCAAGTTTTCAACTGCTTCTGTTTTCAAGTTTTTTATTTTTCTCAATTTTTCGATTGTTATTTTGCCATTTTTCAAGTTATAAGTTTAAAATTTCTCGATTTTTTAATTCCTCAAAATTTGAAAATTTCCATTTTTGTTTTTTTTTTTATTTTTGATAATTCAGTTTTTCACTTTCCTAATTTTTCGATTTTTCAGTTTTACGTGTCTTCAATTTTTTGCTTTCACAATTTTTCAATATTTTAATTTGCGCATTTTTAAAAATTCTTACATTTTTTTTTTTGTGCTCTATAAACAGTTCGAATACCGTGTCACACGATTAGTGTGTTATTTTTTATCACCCTGTATATAAATTTCGATAAGTACGGTTATTGAGACCTGTCAACACCTTGTGTATTCTTTTCATCTCAATTCCATTTTGTTGCAAAAATTCGGATGTCTATTGTAAAAAATCAAAGCGCATTCATAAATCACAAACTACGGCTCCGAAGCAGTACAGTCGAAAAGTCCCGACTCTACGCCACTGCTCTGTTTTCCGTGGACACGCGCCGTGTTTGATTTAGCGCTCCGGCTGACGAGAACAAATAAATACACGTGAAGTTTGATGGAGCGAAGGCAATTATCACACTTAACACTTTTTGGGAGAGGTTGTAAAGGGGCAGGAAATTGGCGGCGGAGGTTCGGGGAAATTGGGATTTCGGTGGGCAAAGGTTTCGGTAAATGGACGGTTTGTTTGCGAAAACATAAGTCTGTCAGGAGAGTAATGTTGGAGGTAAACACGTCGAGTGTGAAAAGTAACTAAACAAATTGTTTTTCGTTGCGGCGGATAAATAAATGGACTCTGGTTCGGCGCTGAAAGGACTGATGAATTCGCGAAATGTGTGCCGATTTTTAGTTTGATAAGTAAAGTAGAGTCCGCGAAATAGTGAACATAGCGTAGTCGACGTTCACTATTTGGCGGACT